GATCTATTCATAATATATATATATATATATATATGTATACATATATATATGTATATTAATTATTTTGTTACTTTACTAGAATAATTGTTTAATAATTGATAATAAAGAAAAAGTGCAGTTAAGTGTATAACCGCCGATTAAACAATAATTAACAAATTGTTTTCACACAAATGAAATACATTTTATTTAACATATTACATACGTATCTATTAACAAATAGGTCGATAGTAACCTATAATAGATGTGAGTGTGGTATTGTATATATAATAAATTATTTAGACTAAAAAAATTTATAATTACAAAAAATTGAGAATTAAAGATTGATTTTTATTTTAATATATAATTAAAATTAAATGCTCTTAATTATCTAAACTATTAAGATTACATTTGTTTTGTTTGTTTGGTTGGTTGGTTGATTTGTTAATTTTGGTTTTTTCCCTCTCTAAGTATTATTGTTATATATAAAAATATATATCTATACTTAATATGGATTTTTTAGGGTATATAAAGTGACTTTTGAGATTTTAATTTATCTATTTATTTATTTTAATTTTGTGTATAATTATAGTTCGGTATGTTGGATAATGTATATATTAAAAAACTGTCTTCGCTGTTATGCTTTATTTATTTCATTATAATTTTTTTTTCTCTTTACAAAATATTACTAGAACGTTAGACCGTCGCTTGTCCTCATCTTTTTGCAGCTTCTGTTTTGCTTGTTTTTAACTTTAAATCAAATTTGATTTTTTATGCCATAAGATTTAATTTTGATTTTTATTTTTTCTAAATTATTTTAAAAAAATCAATCATGTTCTGCTTTGGTTTAAATTTTTACAAAATCTTAATAATATAGTATTGACATATTTACACCTATAGTTCTTAATTTTTTATGTTTGTGTATTTATTCATTTATTTATTTATTTAATTTATTTTTTTTTATTCTAATATTTTATATATTTTATTCATATATATATAAATTAATTCATTATTATGAATAATTTTTTCTTGTTATTAATGTTTTATTTTTAAAGAAATTATTGCTAAGCTTACTTCAAAGAATTTTTAGAATCATTTAGAATATACATTTTTTGTTTTTCTTTCGCAATAACATACGTTTCATACTTTTCGCTGTTTTTTTAATTTAATGATAAAAAATATTTATATATATATGAAAATATATATACATTTATATATATATATATATATATATATAAATATTTATATATATTTATATAAACATATAATTATTTATTTATTTATATATACATAAATATCCTGTGTATGATTTACAGTGTTTGGGTTTCATTGTTTCATTTTCGTCTTTTTTTTCTTTTTCTTACAAAAAGCAGCTGTAATAGTCTATGAAATCATTTACTCTAATATACTTGTGTCTATAGTTTGCCCCTAGTTTTATGCCCGTCCATCCCAAGGATGATTATTTATTAATTGTGTCACTTCTTTCGTAATATTCAGAAACAAGTTTCGGCATCCGTAATAAAGCGTAAATGTTTCTAATTTGAAGAAATACTAAATGGAATTAGCTACTTATCTACTGCTGGGTAATTTTTGGATAAATTGCAAGAAAAATCGTGGCGAATAACCCATCAACAAACTGAAGAATAATCAAACTAAAAAGTAGTGGGACCATTTGAAGTTCTTAGAAAAGTAAGCCTTTGGTACTTTTTATTTAAAATAAGTTCGAAATAGCGACGAGATTACGTTTTTATTGTGCTATGTGTGAATCATATTAATCTACTTTGCGCATCCGTTCACTTATAGAAACAAGGTGTAATGTTTGGCAACATATATCATGAAGACATATTAATCGAAGCGGTGTAGGGCCTTTAAAAATAGGGCTTAGGCGAGTGTAATGTTTTAACTTATCATTTTATTCACTGTCGAAAATTACAACACTAAGAAATACACATTAGTAATAAGGTATGTACCTCTTCACTGGGTTCGTGCATACGAAAGTCGGGCAAGCTTAGCACATAAATTTTTGACACTGAGCCTTATATGTGCGCTGGGAGAATGCACCTAAGGGAGACTTTCATGATGCTAAAAAATTCAAGCAGCTCCAACAAAATTGAAAATTTTCAAAATAATTCTGACCTTTGACATAAATACTTAACAGGGCCCTGAATGAGACCGTCATATCACGATGTACTACAGTTTAAGTGTAAAAATGTTTGAAAATTTGGATCACCTTCAAAAAAAGCAATTATCTTAAATTCCCATGATCCCCAAATCCATAATCTTTTTCCCGGATATGCACGTCTATTATTAACACATCAAATATTATTATCGCAAAACACTTATAGAAACATATCGCGGTATCATTTACCTTTCGACACTGATCAGCTCGTAAGTTAATATTTTTTTTATCAACCCTGCAATTGCCTGTCGATGGGTCCATGATTCTGATGAATGTGTCAATATTTACAGTTTTTAAGCTATACCGTTTGCTTAGGTTTTGCATATCGGGTATGTTACTATCAACTAAGAATAACTTACCGAATTTCGCCTTTCCCCACAATTATTCACCCACGACTGTTCTAACATCAAGCTGATAAAGGGGTGGAATTAAATTGGTTACAAATATATTTGAAAATATATATACATGGTGCGGTCTCTAACGCCCGTTTCTGAATGCTAGAAACGTAAGAACGAAAGAGAGACGTGTCGTTTGCTATAAAAGTGAAAAATTAATAAGTCTAAAGAAAACATTTTGAAGATTTTTATAAAACTATTTAAGACATCGAGTAAATTAGATTCAAATTGTAATGCATACTATTGCATATATTGATTTAAATTTCAAATAGCAAAAGTTTTGAGAAAATTTATATTTCTGCATAATATATTGAGGGGTATTTGCGACTCACTCTACAGAATGATTAGTTATTTTGTTTCGCTTGCATTTTTGGTGTTTTTCCGAAAACATAATTACTTTATACAAAATTGTATTTAAAAGAAATTTTGAAGCTTAAATTTTTCATTTCATAAAATTAATAATTTGCCATCCATTCTATTTGCTTACGTGTCTTAAAACAGTCTAACGTTATTAACAGAATCAACACGAAAAAGCTGTAGCATAAATTCAAGTTATTTTATAGTACAATTTCACGTTTAGACACTTTGACCCGTTTTTTAGTATGGGTATTCAGGTACCCGACAGTAGTTTTAATAAGAAATTGTAACACATCAAATATAGTAATTTTAAACAAAAGTAGTTTACCTTATTTAGTAGATTTTGTCACAAACGCTACAGTGTTCAGACTGAATGGTCTAAGTGTTAATCATTTGGTATATACCAGACTGATCTCACACCAAGTAAACAAATTTACAACGCGTGCACAATTTAACGTACAATACTATCAAAAATAGTAATAGCGGCTCTTGGGCGCCGTTCGGGTGCAAAGGGCTAAACAATAATCAAAAAATTGAGTTTTAAACTCGCAAAGAAATTAAAAATAAAAAACTAAAATATCAAAAATAAATACAGGAACTTTTTGTTAAAATTGTAAAAAAGAAAATTTCTTTAATAGCCGCTTTTCTATCTATTCTCTGAATACGACTATAGCAGACAAGTATGTATTTTCAATTCACTCTTCATGAAAGATTTATTTAGGGGAATTTTTTTTTGTTTCAATAAATTGTTATAAATATGTAATGCACAAAATTCTAGCAACCGCCTTTTTAATGATAAGAGTAATCCAAATATTCAAAAATTTACATTAGTTTTTTCCATACAATTTTCTAATAGATTTTAGATCCTATCTCGTTTCGTTAAGAGGACGAGTGGAAAAGTGTGAGGTAAACACGCGTTTTCGGAGAGATTTAGTTGGGTTCAAAGTCCGGTAAACCCTTGTAATATAATATTTAGGGCGATTTATAGATACTCACCGTTTATTTTAAATATCAATTTTATTATTCATTTCCAAAATTTTAGAAATAAGTAGGCTTGTAATTGCTTTTGACATAGTTCAAAACGTGCGCCGTCATGGACGTGCTTGCTGACGGATTCAGCCAATTTTTGCACTGTGTATATCAAATTATTTCAAAAATATATGTGCCATATTTCAGATTTCTGTTCGAATTTGAGAAAAATTGGGACGGTCGAATAGTCAAACCTCATCCTGATCAGGAGCGTGTGAACATTTATACATTTTTAGTATATTTACTATAACGTAAATCGGTTTTTCGTACGTTGAATTTTTCACTTTGTTTTATTATTAAAGTGTTTTTGATATAAAATTTTAAACAATGAAAAAAACGAGAATTTTAATTATCATCATTTCATCATTTTAATCTGTCGCTGCATTTGATTTACTTTTAGTAAATATATTGTATATTATAAATTTGCGTTCAAGTAAAAGAAAAATAGGGTTGCTTCTCAAAGAGTGCATAAAAAATATTAAAAAAAAAAAAATTAAATAAAAAGCAAAATTATTTTGAGATATTTAAGTATTAAAAATTTAGCAAAAAGTAAAAGAAAAATAATTAAAAAGTAAATAATGACGATAAATACATAAATACAGCTAAAAACTTACTAACGTTTTAAAAAAAAAAAGAAGAGTACTTTTCTCTTTGCAAGAAGAGAAGTGAGTAAGGTATATTATCGCTTCACCAAGATGGACTCACTAAAACTAATTTTCAATAGTCCTTTTTTTTACATTTCTTTTTTTTCATTTTGAACTAAAAACAATAAGAATATTTAACTAAACAAGCAACTGAATTATATGAATTATTTAAACAATTATAACATAAATAGAAAACAATTAATTTTATTTCAATAATTAATCACATAAAGTGAGAATTTGAGCAAAAAAATATTATTTTAACCCATTTTCACTTAAAATATACTGATCTTCATTTTTAATGTTTTAAATATGTAAGCAAAAATAAAAGAAAAATTGTGATAAATAATACAAGCTTCAAAAAAAAAACAAAACATCAAAAAATTATGCTCGCGCACTAAGAAAAAAAATCCAAAAAAGCAATTGTTTAAAAAATCCAATATATGTAAAATATACAATGTTTTTTAAAACTTCATAGTGTACAAAATAAGTAAGTTATAATCAGAATGTAACGCAAATAAAATTAAAATTTTGAATTTTTCGTATCTACGAAATTGCCCATTGGCTTTGGTGTATAGAAATACTCAACGGAGATTCAGAGACTCAACTATAAGCACTTTTAGTCAGGATAAATAGAGAAATCGTTCCAGTCCCATCTGTTCACTGATAATCCCATAATTTTGTCTATAGCAAGAAACCAGATTTTACGAATTCTTTAATTATCCACAGATTATTTCAAGGGAGCACATTCCGTAACGTAAAAAAAAACGGGAGGTAATGGTTGTTTCTGCCCGCATATTTCGGCACATACGAAGTGGAAAATGAGAAAATTGCTAAAAATTTTATACTCTAGACGACGGGCACGGCAGTCGAATTAAGAAAACAAATTTTACTAGCGCTAATTGGGTAGAAATGCCTAAAATAAAAAAGAACTTAATTTAAACTTTTTGCTTACATACTTCGTGGACTAAGTGTTAATATCTACTTTCAACAATAGTGACTACACACGTAAGCGAAAGATGACACAAAACGCTCAGCAAAACGTATATTGCTTAAAATGGTATCGTCGAGTTTAAAGGAGAACAATTGTTTTTTTTTTTTATCAAAATTAAAATTAACTAAAAATTTGTTTATATTAATTTAATTAAAAATCTCTTTTGGATGATGTGCATGCTCTGATGATAATAGTCATTGTCTATTTGACTTTGAGACGATTTAACTACTTTTGTCTTTTCATAAGTTTCTTTCTCTCTCGCTCTCACTCCGTCCGTTATAAGAAGTGTTAATTTTTAATATTGCTGCTAACGGTAGGTTGTTGTTATTGTATTAACATTTCATCTTTTAATTTTTTCAAACCGGCCTGGACATAACGAAATACTTCATAAACACTGCTATGCAATGTCAATGGACCGTTCTCATGATCGAGAGCTATAAAGAAATCTAGAAGAGAAAAAATTTAATTTAAATACGTATTTAAAAATATTTATAATTAATTTGAAATATAGATTTTTTTTTAATTCTACAAAAATATAAAAGAAACGCCATGAAAGTGGTCAAAGTCGTTTACGGTAAATACGTCTTAGAAAATGCCATAGGTTTTTACCATCATTCCTGAAACAAACTGCATTGTTTCTGGTGAAACTAAGTTTCGCCATTGTTTTGTATTTTACAAGGAGGGTCTAATAAGTTTTTTAATTCTTTTACGTTTAAGCACCATTGATCAATGATATCAATAAGAGAAATCAGGTTTTGTATTTTATTCTAAACCTGATAGATAAATAAGAATAAACATGACACGTTTCAGTTTTTTATTGTAATTGTTACGATTATGTAAGTTTGAAGAATGGATTCAGAACTTTACACTGATGCGCATTTCTGGATGTCACAAACGGAAGGACAAATCTGTTACACCTAATTTGTCATTTCTTCGCCATTTTTAAAGGAGCATGACAAATATTTGCCTTGGATATCAGATCTAAAATTATAAACAAATAAACATTAAAAAATACACTTTTACGCCCTACTGAAGGTTGGAAATATATACTCTCTTTGTCGGAACGTTTGTAAGGGCCCTAAAGGACGCTTCAGAAGTCTTATAAAACATACATATTTTTGACCAAATCGATGTATCGAAGCATGTGAAAGCTTCTAAATAGATGTGTGTGATAAAAATTTTCCCTGTCGCAAAAATTAAGACATCGTTTTCAAATTTTACAAAACTACTGCAAATTCATATAGATGGATTGGTAGTGAAAATGAACAAATAAGTGAAAGAACTCGCTTAACATCTGCATTTTCAAAAACTAAAAAAAATGGAGAGTATTTCTCGTTAGTCAGAAAATGTACCAGATACAACTGGAATAACTTCAACGCATATCTACTTTCTTGGCCCAGCCATGCTGTATTTTTACAAAAACGGAAGACCGAAATTTTATTTTATTTTTTTAAAGTAAAAATAGAGCGTATAAAAAAATTCGTCCACAGCCGAATGTAATCTTCTTACTTCTTTAAATTACCTGTGTGATTGCCATCTCTAACTGACTTGTCTGCTTGATCCCACAATTCATGACTACTGGCTAAATAATTAAAAATTTGATTTTGTTGATGCAAAGCTGAGTGTATATTTTCAGGCACTATTTTACCGGGCGGGGTGTTTGAACCGGAACCCTATTTAAATAACAAAAACGTTAAGCAATTAATGAGCTGTTATTTTTTGAGTCAAAGTTAAAATAAAACAAAAAAAACTCACCTGAGAACCTACCGAGTTGGATGGTGATATAGAACTGGGTGTATTGCCATTAACGATGTCACCTTTACCGGATTTGAAAAATTCACGACATATGTAATTAAGGTGACGGCAAAAGCCACGTTTCAATTTATACAATTTAAGAGAGATCAGAGATTGACAACGAAGACTACAAGTAAAAAAGAATCGAGATAAAATAACAAAATTATTTTAAGGTTTAAGTACAAAAATTACCTTAAAATTGCTACTTTATGAGTTTCATGCTGATTAGCCGAAGATGCTTGTAAGTGTGGAAATTTTTTAGATATATATCTAGAAAAGTAACAAAAATAAAACGCACCGATATTCAATACGATAGTTTGTGTTTATACAAGATTTGAAGAAACAGAATTGAACATTACTCACTTAATCAGATCAAGGGTATCACGATACATGGTCCAAGCAGCTTCCTCTGAACGACATTGTTCCATAGCAGCTCCAGAAAGTAGAAAATAAACTACAGCTTCTAAATATAAAGTAACCTGATTGAATGTATTCTGCTCACGATCAGCCGCATGTTTGCGATGTACAGCCTCCTGCAAGAACTTTGCATCTTTGCTGCAAAATTAAAAAAAAAGAAATAAGAGATCGCTTAGTTAAAGTAATGAGCAGTCAAGAGCCTTTCTTCAAAGCGTATAAAAGTAGTTAAGTAAAGCTGGCTTACGCAATGCAAACGACTCGTTCGATTTGGCACGAAAAAAGTAATTTACAGAAAGTTTTTCTTTAATATTTGCCAACAAGCTGGGATTAGAGTTATATTTTCGTCAAAAATCGGAAAAACATTGGTCATAGCAGCTTGAAGGACACTTTGGCGGAGAAGGAGATGGGCCACAAAAGTTTCAACTTCATTTACTTCCAAATCGAACGACTCTAATGTATCACGTAAATCAACTCTTATGGTTTTTGGAACTCTTTTGCATTACTTGTCTAATGAATTTTGAAATTTGGCCACTATTAATGCCATAGCATTGTCGTAAGTGTTGGTGAAATTAGTGATGTTGGAGGATTGGGATTCTTGGGATTTGTTGGTATATTCAAGATAAGACTCCGCAACAAACCTGAAATCATCGCTAAAAGCCTCATCATCTCGTTCGAAATAGGAACGATAGACTACTTGCGGGGCTTGGTCATTAGAATGAATTCCGCCGGTAGTCGTCGATGATATTGCCGCAGTGGTCCTGTGGGACGATGATATCAAGTCACTAGAATTGGACGTTGACGCCATTGATGTATTGGATGAGCAGGTAGAGTTTGGTGGCACATTTGCAAAGCGCGTTAACACCGAATGACCACAAACCGTTGCTGATGCCAATGGTGGTGGTATTAAGCCTACATTCGCCGGTGGTGGCATAACCGCGGAAGCTGCGTTCATTTGCGATGGTACAGTTGAATTCGGATTGCTAATGCTTTGTAAATGCGCACTACTGGCAGTGTTAAGATTGTTATTACCATTGCCACTATTTGCTATAATGCTGGAGGTATTTACTTTATCAAATTTTTGTAGTTGCTGTTGGTGTTGTAACCGGTCGTGGTTTGTGAGCGGCAATTGCTGTTGATCTCTCTGCTAAAAATAAAAGTAAGAAAAATTAAATATTCTATAGTTAAATAAAAATGAATTAATTATTAACTTACTTGTTGCTGTCCATTGCCATTTGCTAACGTTATAATTGTGTCTTTGGAAGAATCTTTCGCAGATTTTATAATCTCATTAGCTGTTTCTTTATCTTTAGAGGATAATATCAGCTTTTCTTTTTCTCCTAAGTCCTTTTCTTTTTTCCGCTTCTTCTCCTTGTATGGACTTGAGCTTGAGCTACAACTGCGCTTGCGTCGTGGTTTAGTATCCAAATGCATGGATTCTTGTGGCGAACACATCGCTTGCTGTTTTTCGGCCATAGCTACTGCCGCAGTCAAATCACTAGGCTTATAGTCCTGTTTCAATATGAGCAGTTCTTGTTTGATTAATGCATTGGTATCAGCTGTCTTATATTTCGTTTCATAAGCCTCACTGTCAGGTTCATGTTTAATGGTATGCTCATGCTTTACTCCAGTCATTAGCAGCTGTTTACTACCCGCACTGGGCGACCCTAAAATTTGCGGACCCGCCGCATAGCCCCTAGCAGTTGCCGCTGTATAGCCATTGGGTATGGGTGGCAATAACAGCACTTGATGTTTGGGGGTAGAGCCATCACCACTGCCATCTGCCGACCGACTACTTAGACGTCCTACATTGACATTGTCTTCCATTACACGTTTTGCATTAGCTGTCAATGCCATTTCTTGAAGGCTTTCTCTTGAACGTGAAAGTTCTCGTTCGGAGGTTACCATCTGCATTGGAGTATGATTACCAGCGCTACGGGGCGTTACACTACCTGAGGAGTGAGTCTTTAGACGCAACTGGGTAGTTGTCGATTGGAGGTCAGCGTTGAGTATTGTCTCATGATCATAAATTGGTGTGCGTCCAGCACTCTGAGGATAACTGTGTGCGTGTCCATATAAACGATATGGATTTTTATGCCATTCAGCTGGTATATGTAACAGACGGGAGAGATCAATTTTACAAATCAGTGAAGTGAGAGGAAGAGATGTTGGTTGGGATTGTTGTTGCGTTATAACTACAGGTGTTGGTGTAGGAGTTCTTGTGGTGGGTGGTGTTCTTGTCGGTGTTCGCGTAGGTGTCTTTATACGTTGCTGTAATTTGCGCTCAGCACTTGTGGTACTGCGATCCGGTGTACGATGTGATGCTACTGACTGATTCACTGAAGATGTTAAAATTTGAGCAGCCAGCGGAGGTAAAGGCAAAGATCTGGGGGACCTCATATGGCTGCGAGGCGTAAGACGCGGTGATTGAGCTGTTGGGGTACCTTGCATGGAACCATGAGTACCTAAAATCAGGTTTTCTTGGCTCGATCTTATAGGATTATTAATAGGAGAAATGTGTTTCTGCTGTTGTTGCATTTGCTCTTCGGATTGATCTACTATCACTACTTGCCCTTGTTTCTTGGCCCCTCCCTCATTAGAAGTTTTAAATATGCGCGTTAGAGTACTAATTTTATTTTTATCACTTTTTGGTTTATCACGGCGTAGTTTCTAAATAACAAAAAATTATTTTAAATATTAATTTCTTTTCCACAATTTCTAACTTACTTTTTCTTTCTTCGCTTCTCCACAATCACTGTCAAAATGTTCATCTCCGCTAGACTCTGAAGAAAAGGCACTCGAGCAAGACGTGGGTTTTCGACTACGACTTGATGAAGCTCCTGTCGCATTTTTGTAAGGCGACAATTGGGTCGTCGAACGTTGCGAACTACTGCCAAGCGTCGCATGAGATTGTCCAGATGACCCAATGGCTGTTCCTGCAACAGCTGTGTTCGGAGGTACATAATCTTCTGTTGAACTATCTGTTGACGAGGAGACGGAAGTTGAAGACATGGATATAGCGTTTGGCGCCGCTTTCGGCGCATTACATCCGGAGACCATATCGTCCATTGTAGATTTGCGGCGATTCAATTGTTTGACTATGCGTCTTGGTCCTGTTGCGCTACGTTTATGCTCCTCCTGAGTTACTGCCACTTTTGTTGATTTTGTTGTCATTACGTTCTGAGCTGCAAAGGGCAATGCCGTATTTTCATCGTCTTCTGAAGAAGAAAGTACCGAAATAGCCGGTTGTTTGGCGTGCGCCTCCAATTCATTGTCACTGTCGGTTGATGAGCTTGACGACTTCGAATTATTGTACGATGAAGACTCCGATGATGAGGAACTATCATTACTTGTGACAGTAGAAGTGGGACCTCCTGGATCAGGTATTGTTAACAGTTGGGTCGTCATGACTGACGGAGAGGGTATTGGTAATGGTTGCTTAGTCTGTGTTATGAGTGCGTTTTGAGTTAAATTGGCAGAGTTTTGACGGGAAATTCTCCGCCGTGATCCAGTAGCAGGTATAGTTGTTCGTTTCGCTACATCTTTCTTAGCTGTCAATGTCGGGCCTTTAGCAGAAGCCGAAGCTGAGGATGCGGAGCTAATATTACCGCTTTGATTTGGTGTAGCATTTTTACGTGGCCGCCCTCGACCTTTTTTAGCACCCATTACCCCTGTTGTTGTAGTAGTCACTGCAGCTGGACTGACCAAATGGTTGCTCTTTTGTTCATCATGTTCCTCATCACTGGTGTCTGCTATCACTGCACTGGTTAATTGTTGCTTTAACTTTTTTCGAGGCTTTTTTGCACGTTGCTGCGCGGCACGTGGATGCGATGAAGGAGGTGAGGAAGGTAATGGATCAATTGGCGTTACAGTCAGTGTGTTGGGAAGCTTTTGTGTTTTTTGCAAAATAACCGGTGATCGAGGGAGAGCTGTAATTGCTGCCGGCACTCCACGAATTTGCAAAATTCCCCCCGGCCCGGGTACAGGAAGACGCTCACGGCCATCATCATCGCTATCCGAAGAAAGCCCTGACAATCCCTCTATGCCTACATAGTTATCGGCACGATTTTTTACTCCCGTCCCCGAGGAACTTTCATTACCATACGGTATTACCGTGGTGTGGCCTCCGGCGATGGCCATAGTCTCATGTTTAATTTGATTGCTAGGAATGGCTACAAATTCTGAAGCATTCAACACAGGAACTTGTGTCGAATTTACAGTTAGTCCGGATGCTGATGCACGCACGTCAGACCCTTCTTTTTTTATGTCGTTCAGCAATGGTGATAGAGGCGTAACACTAAGGCCTGCCGGTGGTTTGCGTGTAGGAAATGCTGCTGCTGCTGCCAAACTGGGATGAGGGAATGTTTCGTTTTTGGCAGAGTTATTGTTATCACCATTTCGCCTCACACCACTCCGAGTATCCGCTCCATTTACCTCACTATCATTTTCATCATCATCATCGTCATCCTCATCCCGATCATCGATTAAATTTTCATTTTTGATATTTGTTAATTGTTGGGGAGGTTCTGGAATTATCTGGGCACCACCAGGCAACATTGTGGGCACATTTAAGCTAACCACGTTCATCGAACTCACAGAGTTTACTACAGTGGCCGCCGAAGGGGAAACAATTTCCTGATTGGATGCGTTATGTAAAGGTGCCTTATTGAAGTAACGACTTAATTGCCATTTCGTGGTATTTGACGGTGAGGGCGTTTTGTTCGAAGACGATGAACTGGAACACGGTGTAGCTGAACTAGAACCTACTGATGAACCCAGTCCACTACTACTACTGCTGTTACCGCCGCTTGCTAGGGCAGCAGAAGAGCCATGACTCAATTTCTTCTTTGTGATTAAGGCAGTGGGAATTTGTTGTTGTTGCTGCTGAGAAGGTAAAGTATTGGTATGACCTTGTTCACTTTTCGAGGAGTCTTCACTGCCAGATTCGCTGGAGTCTGTACCAGAGCTATCACTGGAATTAAGCGCTGATCGAGTTTGTTTCTTCCGATCGTCATCCGATTCCGAAAGCTCCAAATCATTCTCCAAGGTGGAGTTCTGCTTCTCTAGCGAAGGTGGTGGTGGTGTTGGCTTTTCAGCTTTCGATGGTTTTATTAGAGATTCCTTTGATGGTCTAGATTGAATAGGAGAGACTGGCACTGAAGGTGATCTTGACGTTGTTGCTGTGTTGGCTAGGGAAGGCTGTTGCTGCTGGCCACCAGCAGAGGTAGGCATCAATGAATTATTGGCAGGCGCTATGTAGGTGGTGGAAGAAGATAAGGAAGAAGCAGAGGCAGACGAAGAAGGCAACTGTGACGCGTTTACGTTGTTAGCGGAGAGTGGGGGAACAAACCGTGGCGCTGGCATTTCAGCACGAGGTGGAGAGTCGAGTGGTTCTATTACACTTCTCGTTCTCGAAATATCGAAGGAGTATTTGTGCTTATTGGGTTCAGAAAGATTGTAATTTTCCATAAGTGTCGTGTGCGGTGTAGCATCGATGCCGGTGAGCATTTTGGGCGGACAAAACTCATCCGTGACCAGATTAATAATTTTATTGATATCGAGTTGATGATTCTAAAGATAAAATAAGGAAAAATAAATTGTTTTCTATCAGAAACATTAAAACTGGTACACTTGCCTCTGATGGTAAATGTTTTTGGCGATTTTTTGGTATTGATGGTTGAGGAAAACGACCGTTGTGCGTCGTTGATGAGGAGATAGAAGAGGATATTGACGGTGGCCCTACATATGACTTTTCCGTTAATGAAGACGACGAGCTTTGTCGTCCATTTGGCATATGTGTCGTAGGTAGTGAAGCTAATAGAGCAGCAGTTGGCGGTCCTTTTGGTGGAGCCATGCCAGTACTGGAACGGTTTACTGGCTGACCCGGATAACCGCCACGACCATTATAAGGCGGCTTGTTATCAGCCTGCTTAACGTAAGTCGTTGCCGATTGTCGCAATTGTTGCTGCTGTTGGTAGTGATGTGGTGGCTGTAGCTGTGAATGTTGCAATTTTGGCGGCGGTGGCGGCGGCAGACGCTGTGTTAGTGTTACAGCTGCTGGAGAGGCCGGGACAGGTGATAAGCCTATACCACCGCCACCAATAATTGAGGCACTTGGAGGCACAATACCAGTTATAACAGCATTCGAAGGTATTTGACGATTCGACGACATGGACATATGAAGATTGATGATCTCTTTTACCTTCGAATAGTCACCCAGCTTAGCTGCAATATCGTCATCGGCCTCGGATGGATTGACACGTCGAGGTTCCGAGAAGAGCGCTATCTCACGGTTTGTGGCTGCTTGACCTTGCTGCCTTTCAGATTTTTCACGTTCTCTTCGTTGTTTGCGCTCATAATCATAGTCTTCCATACTGTAATTGGAAAGAACGCATATGAATTAATTAATTTAAATGAGTTTCCAAAAAGAACTTTTAAATATTTTATATCAATTGTCTTATATTATCAATACAAACTTTTAACATCTTCTTTTAAAAGAACTTCTAATCTTTCAAATGCTTAGATAAAGTAGATAATAGGCTTTTTGAGCATTATTTTAGAATTCTTTTTTATAATCATTTACAAGTACATTTTTTACTAATTAAAAAAAAAAAAAAACTGGTTGAACCAAAAATAATAAAAATAACAAAACAAAAATCGCAAAAACTCTTCTTAAACCAAGACGAACGCACATAATGAAAATCTAGAAGAGAAGAGATGAACTTAAGCAGCGAGAGATGCATTAATGGGGTGAGTGGGTTTTAACAGGCAGCTACTATAAAATGAGCAGAAGAAGACAACACAAATAACAACTACTATCAAGGCAACAGAAAATTAAATATAAACAAACGTAACCTCACGTTGATCGGTGAAGTACAAGACGAAGAGACCGACGACAAAAGAATATGTATAAACTAGCGAGAGGAAAAGCAAAAAAAGAATAGTCAACAGAACACAAAAATAACACAAGTTTTTGTTTTTGTACCTCTTTCCGTTCGGACAAAATTTAAGCATAATTTTGCCTTTAGACACAGAAACAACAAAATAGAAAGAAAAATGCATTTGTTATTGCGAACTTACTTGCAAAGCAATTTATTTAAAAAAATTTTATGCTTATAGTTGGTTGCCTTCTATTGTTGTTGGCTTTTGTGTTTTATGCATTTTATGTAGTTATCACCAAGAGGTTCAGCGCGTCTTAGTACTTTAAAAAATTTATGGCATTGTTGTTTTAGCTCCTATTAATTTATAATGTGTATAATAATAATAATTGCTACTAACGTTAAATCAATTTCTTATATTAATTTGTTTTTGTAAATATAAAATGATCATCAGTTTTATGAAAACAAAAAGCGAAAACTAAAAAAATTGAGAGTTCGTTCAGAGGGCGCATCGTGTAACTGCTCAAAGTAGAATTCGACTGAAACAAGATTGCCTGCTCAACTTTTACGGATGTTAAATATATTTGATGGCTTTTGCTCCCTCTTATAGGTAACTGACCTGGTTTGCAGCTCTTCCTCCCAACTTTACGATATTAACTGGTATAGAGTTAAAATAATTTGGACTTTCAAGTTAATATGTAAAATTTAATTAATCTTTCATATTTTAATTTGTATTTGACAAACATAACGGCATTCGTTATAATACCAGCGGAAACTATGAAAATTTGATCGCGTTTAATAGAAAGAATTTCCTTTGCATGTCATTCTCAGAATCAATTATAAATTAATATAAAAACTTCAAGAGTTTATTTTTAAGTTTATATATAGTTGAAATTAATTTTTCTATTCATTGCGATGATAACATTGGGTGTTAAGTGTTTTTGATATCCAATGTATTTATCTTCTGCATTTTTAAGGTATTTTGATAGTTCCAACTCTAGAGCTTCGAATGAAAGCCAGTTTTCCGATATTCACTCGATTGGGTCGAACTTTCGAGAAAAAACTCCTTCTTAAGTAAAAATAAGGAAATTTTATACAACTTGAGATATACACTGTACATCCCTTTACTAAAATATAGTACAGCGTAATCTTTTAATCTCCCATTTGCTATATAAGCTAAAATATTCTCTGCAAAAGTAGAGTAAAGGTGGAGCAATTCTTTACTAACTTTTTACTTTAGTAATGATTTATACAAATTTGAGATTATGTTAAAATCAATTGGTATAGTACTAAGGATCCAATTATCCTTTAAATTCTGTTGTAATAAAATTGTCAACATTAAAGAATTGAAATGGAAAACTGAAAGGCACATAACTTTGGTTTAAGTTTAGAACATGAATAAAATCGAATAAATGAATCTTCCGGTTTGGAGTATAAATAAATTTCGTACCATCGCCTCTACTGCTGGAATGCTACGCAAAACAATCTTCCAAAGTTGATTTAAACCTCAAGTAGAATTTTTGACATCGATGTTTTGTGCATTTACATACACATTAAAATAACATGCGTACGAACTGAATTAATAACTACCTTTTGCACTGTATTCGTCTTTAATAAATTTTATATATCCCTTACGACAATAGAACGTAAAATAATGCATAACATGTCTATTTAAGCGTTTGAAATGCAAGTTTTTTACACGTTTTTTCGTTTTTTTTCTTTTTTGCTTTGCACTAAGAGAGGTTCAAATTCGTAATCGTTGAAATTAGGGGAACGTTGGCTAGTTCCATCTTATACTCTTTTATGAATGACGGCAAAAATTATGCTCAATCACTTCTGTTGAAGCAATCTAGAAATTCTCCAATAAAGGAGGCAGACCAGATAATATTTAACTTTGTCAATGAAAATTTTCTTAGTATTGGACAGATTAGTAATCTACGCTTTTACCTGTAAGTTTTAGAAAGATTTTCTTGATGACCTTGTTATTTCTTAGAAAAATGAATTTCATGACTTCTGTGCTATTATATAAAATTTCTTTGAAAAATTTAAAGAGATAATAAGTTATTGTTAAAAATGCATAGCGTTAACACCCTTAAAAGTATCCATTTTATAAGATTTGATTTGGATATGACTGAACTCCGTTTTTCAAATAATATACAAAATTGTTTGCAACTATTCAAAGCGGTCAAAATTATGATTTTGGTTTCAAACGAGAACAAAGAAGAATAATATTAAAATTAATTATTTATTCTTAGCACGGAGATCACTCCTTTCTTGGATACGTCGTGAAATGGCGAGAGGAGGTTTAATATACGGGAAAGCTTATCTTGAGCACCTAAAAAAAACCTTCTTTGCCATAGTTGCACTTCTTTCTATCTTGTCTTTATTAACCACTTCCCATTTGTTTTATAGTTTGGCCATCAAAATGGCCAAATACTATTAGACAGTAATTGTCGGATATGTCATTATATAACTTAGATTGCGCCAAAAGAGAATTAATGTGTAACTGAATATTACTTTTCATTTGCAGAAGTTTTTACAAAATATTTCCAAGCAGTGGTAATATTCTCTACGCCAAATTGCCATACCTATTAGCAAAGAAAGCGGAATTATTGATTTTCTCAAATTGTTCGCAACACCTAAACAGATGTTTCGGCCACTCTTTATATTCGTGATTAGCGCCAAATTCTGAATCTATCAGCGCACGACCGTCTGCCCGTCTTTGTAAAGACTCAGTCTCTCGGCTGCAAAAGTCAATATATTGCAATCAAAAAATTTGCAAAAACATTAGGAGCACTCGCAGCCGTTTTGGTGTTGAAAACGTTCAACGCAAGTGGTCTGGCAAGCCTGGTCTGGTTAACAAAACTTGATATTCTGAAAGCAAGTGGAATCGGAAATATGTATATGCCTACATGTATAAATGTATGTCCAAACAAAAGAAAATATTTTCCAGCAATAACTCAAATACACTAAAATAAATCTGGCTAAATTATTTTGTCTTCTCTCATTTTTTTTTATCTTCAAGTAGTTTTTCTATACAATTCCTTTGAAACTTTGTTCTGTGACATTAAATGAAAAGAATTGTGTGCAAAGCAAGTTTAAACAGGAGAAGGAAGATTTTGCAAGAATTTATCACTTAAACTCCATTTCTTTATTGCAGTTTATTTGTTACAGAAATTCAATTAATCATGTTTGTAAATCAAAAGTCACGAAAGCATTGGAAGGAATTTTATAAAAGCAATGCAAAACAAAGAAATATAGATTATATTATTACGAGAAGGTAATTGATATTATTTTTTTTTCAGTTCAGATGAATTGTATTGATACTTCTCCTCTATATTTGAGCAATATTTATCTTTCATTTAATTTCGATAGTTCCACTATCACGTCTTTTAGTGACTATATTTGCTGCGTATTCCTAAAGCGACATTTTCAAAATTTGCTTTAAAACTTCTTCAATACTGCTTTCCAGTGCTCGTTCTGTTGAAAATGCTGAACCGATCCCACCAAACAAGCAATATGAGTTTAATGCCATAACTATGCAATTTTCCAGTCGGTCTTAATGATTAGCTTGCCCTGCACCAAGATATTTCAAAGTTAAAATAGAGTTATGTGATGACAAAGGTCGATCGAATTTTTTGACAGAATTTGTAGCAAGAGTTTAACGTGGGTTCCTGCCTGAAAGGCTTAACCCCACGGTGGCCCAAGCCACTTTAAGCGCCCTGGCGAGTTAGACAATCCCCACAGAGTAGGGGCCTAAACAACACCAGAGTCCAGAACGGTTTATTGTGTATGGAACAATAAACCCCACCGTGGTCAGTGGTGAGGCCTAGCTGCACTTGACTGTTCCACTTTGGCTAGGAACTTGCCAACCACAACCATCACGAGTACTCCCCGAAGGGCCGCACCCAAGCAGTCAGGACTCACAAATTGATCAACGATATGCGTTCAAAAAGGGTAAAAATTGCGCTCGCTTCCGCCATAAGGCTTCCACGGCGACGTTGATCAATTACCACCATTACCCGCAGGCATCCGTGACATATGTTCAAAAGTAAAATAGGCAAAAGGGGAAAAAGCCTTTCCGTCAAATCCTTTTTTTAATTTTTGCATGTATTAATTCTCAAGAGAGTTTTTAATTAATAGGCCAAAGGGAAGGCCATCCGTCAATTCCTTTTTGTATAATTAATTCTCTCCTGAGAAAATTTTAATTCCAACGACTTTATGAACAAAGTCCATCATACACCCGCAGGTATACGTGGCTTTGTGAGGCGACCCTCCTGACCCCCGTGGCTCCCAGTTTGTTTTACAAAGCCTTTGGCATACTTTGGGCAGATGTTAAAAACAACCGTACTTGCTTCGGATTCACCATAATTCCTTGGTTGCCAACACCATGAACTACTTTTCTTCGAGATATATAGGTTTCGGGTATTGCAATGACATGGCAGGGGCGATCTACCATGCACTCGCTAGATTACTACCTTCAACGTACTTAAACC